CTTCGCCCCCGTCTCGCCCGGCACATGTTCCAGACACTTAGCTCGCCAATCAAGCGACAATTTATTACGCGATCATTAGTCACTCCACTGGCAGATAGATTGATATTTTGACTGACTTCCAAAATTAGAAGTACTAAAATAGAATTTATTAAGATTTGAAATTCATATTATTAATGCTTTCTTAGTTATTAACGCGTTTATTTGATATTTCAAATAAAATTATCTTTTCGGGTGTTTTTTCGCGGTGTTTATTTTAGTTTTTGGTCCCTGAAGTTTCGAAAGCTTTACAGCAATCATGGTTACGGGAGAGATTAAGATTATGGTATTTTTACGCTGGTATCACAATATATACTCTAATAGTCTATATGAGAACAGTATTAAGCAAAATAAAGAACTAGTTAAAGAGAACCTTTAAATAAAAATAGGAAAAAACATCCAGATAATGGAAAACATATATTACAAACGAACGGTGAACGTTAAGAACATTTTTGTAATCTAAAGTAATATCCGTATAGGCTTCTCCATTCACTTTTAAGGCAACTTGATTTTACTAGATTAACGTTTGAGAGATTCAGCGGTTACAGAACGAGCACTTCTATTTGTTCGCTGGAGATCGCGAGTTTGAGTGACTCGATATTTTTGTGTATTTTTACTGAACTGAACTGAACGGATGTACTAAAGTTTTAACAGGTGGATGTTAAATTTGTTTAGTAGTCTTAACCTTTACCCATGACCATGATATTTGTAGCAGTTCTGAGAACTCATAAAAGTAATTAAAAAACATGGTAAATATGCCTTTTAACCTAATAAAAATATTGTCAGAGACCATGAATGTTGCTTAAAGATTTCTACATCTGTATGATTCGTGTTCTATATTAAGAATATTAGAACAACTTATAAACGACTATAACTTTTAGATTTGTGTAATCTTACCTATGTCCATTTTAAAACAAATTTTAATGATTGACGCGCATGAGAACTGTTACAGCTGTCACGATTCCACACCGTTGGGTAGTAATTTAGAAACTTAATTGTCGTAATTGAGTCCCTGTGTATAAATAAAGATGTATTGCTAATTACAGATCTAAGCTTAATAATAGATCAATATGAAATAATCTATTTAGCTTATTATAAATGAAGTTTAATTTAAAATTGGGTTAAAGAGTTAATGTCCAGTCACAAAACACACGGATTTTCCCTCATCTATCTGAGGTTTACAGGTAAAAAATATACGTGCAGAACAAATTTCATTAGAGGCGCTCGGTTTTCTAATTTGTACCTATTATATTGCATTCTAGCAAATTAGAAACGGGAAAAACTCAACTGCTAAATGAATTTATTGTTTAAAATGTGGTCCGTTTCAAAGAGTTACTTAGTCGTAACTTCTAGTAACTTATTGAGATCTAAATGTCTATGGTAATTTTGATTGACACATCCTGAGTTATAGTAACGTAGACGCATCCACCAAATAACGGAGTATTGTGTTTCTATTTCTTAAAGATATAAGAAAAGATAGATCAGAATACCATGATCGTCATCGAAATACACAGAAAGACTAAGACCAATGAGTTTCTCGCCGGTTCTTCTCAGCAGAACTGCTTTCCAAGCCGGTGGTATTTTCCTCACGGACTTATACCTAACACTGACACTCTTTAAATTAAATTGACGATTAAAAGTGCTTGTAATAAGTCTAATTGAATAAAATTTCATTCACCAATGATATTATCCGCTAACAGTGCATATCACTCGTAGAACAGACAAGATGGGTTCTTGAGTGGCAGCCGCGTACCACCACGTCGAGCGTAGGTTGGCATCGAATAAGGTCAAAGTCCATCCATCCATTGATATGGTACGATAAATATTCCCTCTGTACATTTATAGCAAATTTTTTTAGAAGATATTTCGGGAAAAAAATAATTTTCATCCGAAATAAATGACTACGAGTACGTAATTTAAAACAAATACTTGGTTTGAGAACCTCTCAAACTAATAATAAAATATTACAAAAAAATATAACGATTTCTTCGCGAGGGAGTCGGGTGAAAGTATGCAAAAGTGTGTCTTAGATTTTTTTGAATGTTGACTTCCATAAATGTTCTATTTCGTAGCCCATTTCGCTTGTTTATTGTTTCAGACAAAAGCCAGCGAGAACACGTGCTCTGAGAGACGTCGTCGCTTTAAATCCTCCTGAGAACCAGCTTAGTGAAGCAGTAAAACCTTGAAAAGATATTGCACAATATTTTCATTTTGTTTTTTTTTCTACTATTTTATCTACATACACAACATGGTTTATGCCTCATATAAAAAACGAATGTCTCTCTGTTTGTACTGAACTACTCTGTTTATGTCGATCGTTTAAACTAATTTTAATATATCTGGCAGGTATAGGTTTTGACAAGATCAATATCTTAGACTACTTTTCATTTTACAAAAGAAAATTGTTACTGCGGGATAATGGGTAGAAGAAGAACGGCTTAATCGATTTGTATGGAACTCCCGGGCTACAGAATTACAATTTATTTCACAATGTACTAAATCACGAGTGAAGCCAAGGGCGAATGCTATATATATGTTGTAATATTTTATATGTTTATGGTGCGAAGAGAAAAGCTGGAAATATATGTAAAATTACATTATCGGAGCTTATACGCCGATGTTCTGTCCCTTTGAAGTTATTAGAGATGTGGTTACCGCGTAGTATTTTTGTAAAATTACTTTAAACAAAGATTTTAATCATTTCAGCCCTTTTTGATCTTTTATCAAAAACTCGTATCTGTATACATATACAGACTTATCAAGGTTTTTAGAGTTTAGGAATTAAATATCGTTCTTATTTGGTAGTTTAGAAAAATATAATAATATGTCCTTGTTATGTAAAACTGATATCTAATATAATATTTAGGTCTTGAAGTCTATTTCGCCGTAGTACGAGCATGTAAGATGTGTCGTGAGAAAAGACGTCTTATTTCCTTGATGTATCTTATTTTAGAAGCAGAACTATTTTATGATTTTATTTATTTTAGAAATTTTCGCAAAAAGCTCAAGTGGCTCCCAATCCGCCTTCGCAGGAATACTCATGTACTTCATCTTCTCTACTGCGTGCTGTTCTACCCTTCTTCTCCTTTCTACCTTACAGAGCGTTTCCAGTTTTTGAGTGATACCCATACTCTTTCACTTCGCTCTAGTGTAACGTTATTGCTTAAAATTCCTTCTCACTCCTCCTGTTTCCTTACCAACTCCTTCGCAGTAAAGGCTGCACGCTTATGGAATAATCTTACAATAGACATCAGGCGTGCCAAAAGTTTTGATAATTTTAAGGTACAGTTAAAATCATATTATTTGTCTCTATTGTGTCTTACATTGAACTTTTTATACTTTTTCATCTGATCTACATTTATGTATGTATGTATATAAGTACGTATGTATGTATTATGTATGTATGTGTGTGTGTGTATGTATGTATGTATTTATGTATGTCTGTATTTAGGATATGCAATTGTGTGTAGTAAGACCGTCTACCATTTCATATTATTTATCCTACACCCTAAGGTTGCCTGGAAGAGATCGCTTATAGCGATAAGGCCGCCTGCTGTGCATCATCTATTGTTTATATCTACTTTTTGTATATTTCTTTTTGGTGTACAATAAAGCATCTATCTATCTATCTATATATATATATATATAATTCAGATAGTGATTTCACATATTATAAATAAACAAAAAAGGATATTTTTATGAAATTGTTCTGGAACAAAAAGGCTTCAAGGCTTTTTACGATTTTATCATATGTACATCTATAGGTATTATTAAAACGAACCGGTTATCTTTGTGACCCAATTGAATAATAATGTTGACATTGAGTCTTCTCGTCACATTAAATCAAGTGTATCGTTCGATATCACAAATATCTGGCTTACAGTCGAATGTAGGGAAAGAACGCTAAGTAAGAAGGCACGTCTGCTTCGTTAACTCGCCGGGTAATTGGAACTTTGACTACTTGAAACTTTCCCGTCGCTACGGCACATAGTTGCGAAGGTTATATCTAGTTGTAGCCCGCACCATCATATATCGAAGATATCAAAATAAAGAATTCATTTATAGCTTTAATATAATTTATATGTTGACTAGCGACTCAACCTCCCTCCGCTCGGGTTCGTCCCTAGTTACGTTTAACGTTTAGCACAGAGAAGACATATTTTCTCGCAGTAAAAAGTATCCTACATATTGACGCGGATAACAAGCTATCATCATACTAAATATCATCAAAATCTGTCCAGTGATTTTTTCGTGATGCAGTCACAGACACACAGACAGACAAAACATCTAAAAACTATAGATTCGGCCTCTGTATTGATAATAATGTCTATTTCAATTCCGTTTTTTTAAAAAAAATGTTTAATGAACAGATTTGACTTAGTAAGAATTTTATTATATGTGTCGCGGCTTACCCCATCTAGCTTGTACATAAGGCAACTGCCTATGGAACTTGAAGTAGTTGCCACCGTTGGCCGTTGTGTGGCGCTACGGTGATTTTTCCCTGTGTCTATTTTTTGTGTGTAACATCATAGACAAGTCATAGACATTAATTAGATAGTGACTAGTAGAAATTCAAATCTTTTCATTCTCTTTGTTAACTCGTAACGCTCCGAACATATTTTATATACGAACCATTGTAAAACACGAAATTAAACGTAATTCGAGATAGTCTACGTTTTATTTGAAGACCTTCGTAGTTTTTGGCTGATCGTTGCTGCAACATAATTTGGTCTTCGAGACGGATTTACCAAGAAATTGGACTTCGTGCCGACTGGTCCTCGTCAAGGAAAATCGACGCAGCTACTTCTTCAGTCAACGGTCAGGTCTTATTTCCTTTCTACTCCTTTCCCTTAAACGTTTGAATTAAAAATCGTATCATTTACATTTCAGGCTAGTGACGTTTCTTTGCGATTCTTCATATAACCGTGAGTACCTTACATTATTCTTACACGTAGACCTCTAAGATGTCCACTGAAGATAAATTATCAGTGCTTTCGGCAGCTTCCCCCTCGGGAAAACGACCAAAAGATATTTCTGAACTCAAAAAACAGCGAGGTAATTTAAAAGGTCGGTTAACACAATTTAAAAAATATTTAGATTTGTTGCCTTGTAATTCTATATCTCAAGTTCAAGTTAAAGAAGTTAAATTTAGAATGCAAGCAGCTCAAGATCATTTTAATACTTTTAACGACATTCAAAATCAAATTGAGCTCATTTTACCCGAGTCGGAATATACAGCGAACTTTGAGTATGTAGAATCTTTCGAATCATTATATTTTAACGTTTTAGCTACAGCTGAAAGTATAGTCGAAAATACCGTCGAAAGTTTAAAATGTAACAGTAAATCGTCAGCACAATCGAATGTTAAACTGCCGGACATAAAATTACCCTCCTTTGATGGTTCATTTGATCAGTGGTTAGAATATAGGAATTCGTATATTACTATGATACACAATCGTTCAGACTTAGACGAAATCCAGAAATTTCATTATTTAAAGGCTTCACTAAGCGGTTGTGCGTTACAAGTTATAAGCGCTTTAGAATTTACAGCGAGTAATTACGTGCATGCCTGGGATCTACTTCATAGTAGATTTCATAATACGCGACTTCTTATACAGAACCACTTGAAATCATTATTTTCTATCACTCCGCTTAAACAGGAATCCCACTTGCAGATTCGTAGGTTAATAGATACTACACTCAGAAACCTTCGTGCTTTAAAATCATTAAACGAACCTACTGAACACTGGGATACAATAATTATATACTTAGTTGTATCTAAGTTAGACGCATCTACTGAGCGGGAATGGGAGAATTTTAAGGGATCAATTTTAACTGATTCGAACAAACGACTAAAATTAGATGATTTATTGTCATTCTTAAGAAACAAATCGAATACTCTGGAGATGATTAGTTCTAGTCAAAATAAGTTGCCTCAATGTAAGCCTCACGTTATAAGCGAAAATAAGCATTACCAACCAAAAGGCCATGTCATAGGACATACCTACAGGTCTACTAATTCTAATAAAAATAATAATTCTAAGAAGTTATTTAGTTCTAATAAACGCATTTCTCCAGACAATAATAGTTGTATTTTATGTAATGGTAATCATCTACTTTATACGTGCTATAAATTTTTAAATTTGTCTATTAAAGATAGGCTAAAATTCGTTGAAGATAATAAACTATGCAGTAATTGTTTACGTTGTTCAGGTCATTCTGCAACGGAATGTATGTTCGGTCCGTGTAAGCAATGTCGGAACAAACATAATACGTTATTACATGTTAATAATAATTTAAATAAATTCGAATATACGCAAAGCGTGCGATCAGCTGATTTTGGCGAGACTCGTGAAGCGGCCGGCCCGTCGACCGCGCTTCACAGTTTATCTACTAGCCACGCGCTGCCGCGAAATGCATTACAACCGGTTTTGCTATGCACCGCGTTGGTAGATATAATAGATCGGAATAATCAAATATTTACAGCTCGCGCGCTATTGGATAACGGCAGTCAACATAGTTTTATTTCAGAAAAATTATTTAAACGTTTGAATACGAAACCTATACAGTCCACTATACGTATATCGGGTGTTGGTATGTCTACAATGCAATCGAATAAATCGTGCGAAATAATTATACGTTCTAAGATAAACGATTATAGTACAAAGGTGCGGTGCTACATTTTGCAGCACATTACGTCTAGTTTGCCTACGACAAACATTGATAATAAATTTATACGTATTCCTAATAATATTCGTCTTGCGGATCCATCATTTAATATTTCCTCGGCTATCGATTTACTAATCGGTGCTGATTTATTCTGGGAATTATTATTAAACGATAATAGAATTCGATTAGAAAGGGGACCTTACCTCCAAAATTCTAAATTAGGATGGTTATTGTGTGGGCCGCTTTATACGTCGCAATTAAAAGACAGTGAAACCGATCACGTTTATTGTAATTTTAATCAAGCTTTAGACGACAATTTAAAACGTTTCTGGGAGTTAGAAAACGTATCTCAGTCCTGTAATATTCTTACTGCTGATGAGCGTATATGCGAGGATCTATTTAAAAATACGACTAAACGAGACATCGATGGTAGGTTCACAGTACGCATTCCTTTGAAACAATCACCAGATGTTTTAGGTGATTCGTATAATTTAGCAAAAAATAGGTTTTTTGCATTAGAACGTAAACTTGAGCGCACACCGGAATATAAACGTCTGTATCGTGACTTTATAAACGAATATGAGTCGTTAGGCCATATGACACGTGTGAATAAGGTTGAATATCCTAACTTTTTCTTGCCGCATCACGGTGTTTTTAAAGAGCACAGTTCAACCACTAAACTTCGTGTGGTCTTCGACGCAAGTGCTATAACTACTTCTTCTATGTCACTTAACGACATTCAGTACCCGGGACCTGCTCTTCAAAATGACATTTTTTCTATACTTTTACGATTTAGGCGTTATAAATACGTAGTCTGTGCGGACGTAGAAAAAATGTTTCGTCAAGTCCTTGTTCAGCAGGATCAAAGGTCACTGCAGTATATCGTTTGGCGTGACAATCCTACAGATCCGTTAGGTATATATCAACTTAACACCGTAACTTATGGTACGGCGTCTGCGCCGTATTTAAGTATGCGTTGTATACGTCAGCTCGCATACGATTGTGATGACGCCGTCACAGCTCGGGTAATAATCGAAGATTTATTCGTTGACGATTTGGTTACTGGCAGTGATGATCGTCATGAGCTAATATCCATCTGTGAAAAGGTTTCAGCAGTTTTACGTTCGGGATGTTTTGTACTACGTAAATGGATATTTAACTCGGAACTCGCTCATACTCAAGCAACACAGCAGTTTAACGGTGAACACACGCAAAATAAAACCTTAGGTATTGGTTGGTATAGCGAGAGTGACTACCTACATTACACTACACAAATAGACGAGTATGACGATATACCTAGGTTGACTAAACGAGTAATGTTATCAATAATATCACAGATCTACGATCCGTTGGGTTTATTATCGCCCACCGTTATTATATCTAAAATTTTACTTCAAAAATTATGGCTGAGTAAGCTCGATTGGGATACGCCAGTACCTCGCGATATCGAACTTATTTGGAATAAATTTATGTTAGTTTTAAAACGATTAAATGAATTAAAAATTCCTCGTTACGTAATGAGCGGCTACACGCAATACAAAGAACTGCACATATTTACCGACGCGTCACAGAGTGCATACGGCGCTTGTGCCTATGTACGTACCTATAACCATAATTCCGAAATCGTCGTAAAATTATTATGCGCAAAAAGTAAAGTTGCCCCCTTAAAGTCCATATCTATCCCGAGGTTAGAACTTTGTGGTGCTTTAATAGGCGCAAGACTTTATAAAAAAATAATCGACGTTATTCGTTTAACATTCTCAAAGGTCATCTTTTGGACTGACTCGACCATCGTCATCGGTTGGGTTAAGATGTCGCCACATCTCTTAAAGCCGTTCGTACAAAATCGCGTAACCGAGTTAAATGAGCTGACAGGTGATTCCGAGTGGTTACATGTATCGAGCGAAAATAACCCAGCTGATATATTGTCTAGAGGATTAGCCTTTGATTCGTTGATTAACTGTGAGCTTTGGTGGAACGGTCCGTCTTACTTGCAATGTCATAATAATTTTGATTCGTTAAATAATAATAATATAATTAATTTAGAAAATTTGCCTGACTTAAAATCTAATGTAGTACATAATTTTAGCAGTTTCGATAACTTAGATTTTATTCAATTTAATAAATACTCGTCTTTCATAAAACTTAAACGCGTATGGGCCTACGTTCTTCGATTCATAAACAACGTACGAGGGAGTGGGGCTAATAGACGCAAAACAAAGCAAACCGGTTTGTTATCGGTGTCTGAACTAGAAGAAGCGCAGTATACATTGATTCGTTTTGCACAAATGCAATCCTTTCCGACTATTTATGATAATTTGCTGAATGAAGGAAGTTACACAGGTAATAATAAAGAATTAATTCGTGTATCTGGATTAAACGTGTTTTTAGACGATAAAAAATTAATTCGAGTTGGTGGTCGACTTCGAAACGCGTCTAATTTCGATTTTAATAAAAAGCATCCGTTTTTAATGTGCAGTCGACACTGGATGTCTAATTTATTAGTGAGTCATGAACACAAGAGGCTACTTCATGCAGGACCTCAACTTATTTTATATACCCTGCGCGAGACCTGGTGGATATTAAGTGCAAGAGGTCTTGTGAGAAAAATCGTGCGTCAATGTGTTACATGTTCTCGTTTTAACAGTAAGATACCTAAACCTATAATGGGAAATTTACCATCTGAACGTCTGGATGCGGGATTTCCGTTTGAGCGGACCGGCGTTGATTATGCTGGACCTATTATGATTATGAACCGTAAAGGAAGAGGTGCTAGGCAAATTAAATCGTATATTTGTTTATTTGTCTGTTTCATAACTAAGGCTGTACATATCGAACTAGTCACGAGCCTTTCGACGGACGACTATATTTTAGCTTTAAAACGTTTCATTGGTAGACGCGGAAAACCAGTAGCTCTTTATTCTGACAACGGTAGAAATTTTGTTGGTGCTGAAAAAGAAATTCGAAATTTAATTCATAACAATTCACAACATATAAACGATTACGCCTCATGTGAGGGTATTGATTTTAATTTTATTCCACCGTATGCGCCGCATTTTGGAGGTCTGTGGGAGAGTGGTGTAAGGTCTTGTAAACATCATCTTAAACGTATTGTTGGTAACGCCAAATTAACATACGAAGAAATGAATACGGTTTTAATTCAAATCGAATCCGTTTTAAAACTCTCGTCCACTGTCCCCCTTATCCAACGATCCTAACGACTTCACTCCCCTCACTCCTGGTCACTTCCTCACAGGCCGACCGTTAACTTCGCTGCCATGCGAGACCATTTCTGATGCTACAGGTCTGGCGATGAACCGGTACCGCCGCGTGGAGCAGCTGCGGCAGCAGTTCTGGCGGAGGTGGTCCAGAGAATACATTGGAGAACTTCAACAGAGAACTAAGTGGAAAACTCATCATGACGATATAGCCCTTGATCGTCTCGTCCTCATCAAAGATGAAAATTTACCACCGCTTAAATGGCGTCTGGGACGCATAACTAACATATACCCGGGGACTGATGGTGTCACACGTGTTGCCGACATCCGTACCGCAACCGGAACGACGAGGAGGGCGTTTTCGAAAATTTGCCCTTTGCCCCTGCAGCCATCCAACGACGAAGCCTGATGTTGGAAGCCGGTGTTTCCAAGGCGGGGGGTATGTCGCGGCTTACCCCATCTAGCTTGTACATAAGGCAACTGCCTATGGAACTTGAAGTAGTTGCCACCGTTGGCCGTTGTGTGGCGCTACGGTGATTTTTCCCTGTGTCTATTTTTTGTGTGTAACATCATAGACAAGTCATAGACATTAATTAGATAGTGACTAGTAGAAATTCAAATCTTTTCATTCTCTTTGTTAACTCGTAACGCTCCGAACATATTTTATATACGAACCATTGTAAAACACGAAATTAAACGTAATTCGAGATAGTCTACGTTTTATTTGAAGACCTTCGTAGTTTTTGGCTGATCGTTGCTGCAACAATATGTACATATAGATATAAATACATTGGCCAAAAAGTACACATTCATAAAGATATCATCACAATACTGCGACACTCTTGACTTTATCCAGGGATGAAGTCACAGATATACCTACGTTGTACATAATAAATTACCAGTAAAGGTTTTATATCAAGGCTACTAAATTAAAAAAATCTATTGAAATATCTTTTATTATATAATAGGAAATCACGTCATAATAATAAAAGAATCGGATGATACTATTATATATGCTACAAAAAATGTGTGTGTGTCCTTATGTACGCACGTAAGAAGTTATACTGCTTTGACGTAACAGAACAAAAATAGATAAAGATTTCATCCCGTATGTCACAGCTCTCTGTTTGTAAAAGGAATACAGCTAACTTCATCATGTCGCTTTCACCTAACTTTATGATGTCGGTCGGCTGTCGGTGTCCACACGCATCGTGAAAATTTTACTCTCATAAACTCGTGTTCAAACGTGCCAAATGAAGTATAACTTAAAAAATTGTAAATCAAACAGACATACAAATGTTTGTTATTCCTTTTTACTGAAATAACTGGATATTTGGGTGAAATTGGCACTACTACTAGGACGCAGCCGAGGGTGAGTAATAAAAATGAACATACGAATATATTTGTCTGCTTGTAACGCACGTATTATTATATCTGTCATTAGTATTCGATATACGTTTAAAACTGTATCATTTTAAACATTGGCGATAGGAAGAATAAAAGTTAAAATAGGGACAATATTACCTGCATATGTTCAGCACTTCTTACTCCAGTAGTCACGTAAAAGCTAAACATTTCGAATGGCGCGCGTTTCTCTATTTTCTTTTCGTATGAAAGCTCTTTCAGTGAACTAAACACATTAGAGCATAGCTTTTTACAGTTTAGACTTTCAGTGACTTAACAAGGTATCGTAGAGCTCATGAAGCACTTTCACAGGAGTCTTCTTAAAAAAGAAGTTATTGTCTATTATCATTTTTAGGGTTCCGTACCCAAAGGTAAAATGACTACCCTAATTAATAAGGACAAAACAACCCTCTTACTAATACTCCGCTGTCCGTCCGTCTGTCTGTCCGTCTGTCACCAGACTATATCTCATGAACCGTGATAGACAGTCTGTTGCCGCTATAATAACAAATACTAAAAAACAGAATAAAATAAATATATAAGGGGGCTTCCATACAACAGACATTTCTTGCCGTTTTTATAGATAATGATACAGAACTCTACGTGCGCGAGTGCGACTCGCACTAGTCCGGTTTTTAAACATATTGGTACCTAGTGCCTCGCTTCAAATACTTCCTTCCTAGGTGCCTTTCAATAGTTTACAGGGGTAAAGATATTGGTAGATAGCCTATCTGTGAACTAAATTCCATCCAAATCCATTCAGCCATTATAACACTCGTTCAAACTTACACATTTAAAAAATGTAAACTGAAACGTCACGTCACGTCCAAGGACATTAGTTTTTATTAAAAAAATAAAAAATTCTGGAGTTACAAACTTGCCTCAATACTATAGTGATTAAATTGAAACAAATTGGCTTGAATATTTGCGAAGGCTAAATATTGTATTTTTAAAAGAAAGAAAAAATTTATCATATTCCCTTTAAAATTAATTATTGTTATATTGACAATATTGTTGATAGATTTACATATTGAGGGATCCTGTTTGATATTTTTTTTTACATGACATTACTTTGGAATAAATATATTAGTAAAATTAGGGAAAAAATGATGAAAACATTTAATTTATTAAAAATCTTAGCAGAAAGCTCGTTGAGAGTTCATCCAAAACATGGAAATCACTAATGATGGAATCGAATTATTTTAAAATTGGCGTATTTTTTTAAGCGTTTAAATGTTAAAAAGAAATTATTATTTCAGTTATTTATGTAGTCACTGGCGACTCACCTCGCTTCGCTCAGGTTCATCCCTAGGTACGGTAATTTTTTTTTTTTGAGCGGCACCCTAATTCTTTTTCTAAAATAAAAGTAGCAATGTTACTCCCTATAACATCAGCTATCTTTCAGTGAAAGCCCCGTCAAAATCAGTCTAACCGTTTCACAGATTATCCGAAACATACCGACAAACAGACAGACAGACAAAAATGTAAAAAATTGTGTATTTCTTGTACCGTATATAATTTCATATGCATTTCGTAAAACGCTGTTATTTTGACTTTACCTACAAACAGACTTCCATTTTATTTATCTGTATAAATTACAAATAGCCACGTCAATTTATTTATGTTTATAGATGTATAGATTAGTTAAAACATCAATTTGTATGATATTAATTTCATCCCGACCAATCTCACTCAGACTAGCCTGTGTACAGAGAGCCTGTGGGCTGATGTCTCTTGTAGTGCAGATAAGTGCATAGTCGAATCTTTTGACTCTGAAAGTCCGGGTCGACAATTTAACACGATCGATGAGAGCCCAAGTAGGACCGGCGGTCTTACGTGATCTTCTTACATATTATAATCGCAGTAATATAATATAGCGTGTATACATATCACGTTGCCGACTAGGAAGTTCACATACAGACAATAATATTTATTATAATATCTAAAAAAAATAGCTTCTCTGAGCTCCATCTGCAGTTGAGTTTATCCACATAGGTTAGCTTAGAAAGGTTATAATATTTTTACTTTAACTCTACGCAATAAAAAGGTACATATATAGATATAACATAAAATAGGTACAATTTATCTATAACCGATACACTCGTAGATATGATGCTAACGATAGCGTATGAAACAATAACGTCACTTCAGTAGACAAGTGTAGGCGTCCTTTCATACTTTTGTTCAGCATTCCTCATCAATCACGTTCCAAAAAACACGCGAGGGCGAGGGCGCGGCCGCAGGTCCTCAATGTACGTGAGGCGTGCACACGCTCTCGTTCTGAATTCAGTCTAAAAACGTTGGTGGATTGTTATTTACTACAAGGCTTTTGTAATCTATGATTATACTTATTTATGGTTAGGTAATACTAAGATTATATGAATAAAAGAAAAACTAAAACAATTAAAATTCAGACTAGTACGAGTCTGACTCTCACATCGAGGGTTCCATAGCATAAAACATTAAAATAAGTTTTGTATATACAAAAAGAATTTTTTTGTGGTGTACTACAAATTTACGTTTTGCGGATTTTTCCCTTACTATAAGACATTGCTTTTTGCCAAAATTTCATGATTCTAGGTCAAGAGCAATTACCCTATAGGTTTTGATTCCCTTGCGAGGGTATCAAAATATGCGGCACAAACGGCCGCATCTGGTGATTGCGTTGACTTAGAATTTTGATTTTTCATAGCTCCAAGAAATTGGAGACCTGAGTATTTGATATTACTTAATACATCCACGCTTTCTTGAGAACAAGAAGATCTCTTTTTTCTTTTGGGGTTCGAAAATAAAAATACGCTTTTGATAGAATATAACGTAATACATATATATGGATTCGTTCTAAATGATTTAAATGCCCAAATTCAAAGATTTTACTTGTAGTATCGATGTGATCCACAATATACCTGCATTTTTATCAAATGAAATGAAACAAAAGAAATTATATTTTAATCAATTAGACTTATGCATGAACTTTTGTCGTTATCGTAATCAGATATCTTCTGTGGTATTAAATAATTACATTATCGTCCAGATTTCGTATAATTATGATGTTTCAAGTATATGTATGTGACTGTAAGAAGAAGGTTAAAATTGAGTTCTAAGATTTCAATGTATACTCATAATTGAATCTAATAAAAGCGCGAAAAAAGATGAAATAATAAAATAAAAAAAAAGATCAATGGCCCCGCTGAATTCATTCGTCAATTTTTCTCAAGACTGAGGCACACCTATTAGATATTCGGAATGAATGAAACACAGAATCATTAACGTCACAATCTAAAGTAATATACAAAATATTTTTTGACTTTATTTTTTTATATACCTACCGTTTTTGTGATATAAATGTTATTTGTCCGATCTAGTCTAGACGAGATAATATATATAGTATCGGATTTCAATTGTCACCAGGACCTGCATCGTAAAGTAATAGTTTATATTTCAAACTTTTAGTTCTTTTTCGTCATTCACAGATTTCAACATTAGAAGCGTTGTGTGATTATAATATTAAATACTAGCATTGTTTGCGGCTCCGCCCGCGTTCAAATGACCAAAAACCAAATTCTTAGGTTTTACAGATAGATAGATAACAGAGTAAAGTATTTTCTCGCGGTAAAAAGTATTCTATATGTTGACCCGGATAACCAGCTATCATCATACCAAATTTCATTAAAATACCTCGAGTGGTTTTTCTGTGATGCGGAAACAGACAGACAGACAGACAAAAATTCTAAAAATTATAGATTCGGCCTCTGTCTCGATAATAATGTTTATTTCAATAAGATTTTCTAAAAAATATTTAATGTACAAAAATATTTAATTAATTTTTTCTTTATATCATGTCATATATAAATGTCATGTATACAATGCAGAGGTGAAATAAACTAACCGATGCTACACTCCGTCCTTTAAACCATTTCCATGTAACAAATCAGACTCCGTACCTGCGCGAAAACATAAATATATGTTAAAGTATAATTTTACTCAGCTCAAGTGAAAATTTAGACGAAAATGTATGTAAATAAGATAAATGAACTTGTATGTGCGGTAGCTTATTGCTCGTTATGGCTCGACCTCTTTGCTCGAGCACGCTCTCTTTAATCTACTTATTATTTGGCTGTCTATTTTGAATTGAGTGGTTGTTTTGATATTTTAATTTTTTGCTGAGTAAATAATGTAATATGTAATGTATACTTCATTGTTGAAGTATATATTGAGCTAAGGGTTTTTTCTTGAACCATGAATTTAACAGATTTAAGTCATTTTGAGCATAATTAAAAATATCATTAAGTGAGTTTCCAAAGTAAAAGAGGCAAGTGTCATGGGCATAAATGGTAAGACACTCTTTTAAACCAATATGATAAATGTTATTAATGTACATAATAAATTCTGTATTAAAAATATTGTGACTCACCTAAAGGCACCTGTTGAATTTTCAGCCGGCTGTTATCAGCAGAACTACATTCTGAATCGACGGTAGCTTTCTCTCGGAGTTGATCGGGATCGATTTAAAAGTACTTGTTATACCTAATGAACAAAAATTGATTTTGATTTAATATGATCAATTCAACATTTTCAATTAATGATTAATGATCATTGTCTTAATATTTTATTGTTAATATATTTTTCTTTTATTATTTATTTAACAACTTATCACCTAAAGCTATAGTCTTAAATTAGATAGGAGGTTCCTGTGGAAGGTTAGACGTACGCGACACAGGGTGTGTCCTAGTGCGTGCGTCTCAGCACTCCATTGCCCAATGTTTTGTTAAACAATAATTGTTATTAGATTAAGGAGTATATTTGTATCCATTTTTGTTATTACGAAGTAAATGAATTAAATTACTTAAAGTTTACATTCAACCGTAATAGGAAACATGGATCCTTTTGGTGAGAGAGATTGGACCAAGCTTGACTAATTTTTAGAACATTATTCAAAGTATTCAGAGTGAGAAAATAATTTAATGTTTTAAAATTAAAAATAACTTGTTTGGAATACCCAATGAGAAGGCAAGAGATATTTCGAGCCTCAGCATATATATAACATTAATACATAAACATCGGTCGCGGATGAGGGTCCTGAATCCTATTTTTGACTACTCCTAACCCTAATAAGATTGTGGGATTGTTCCTAAATGCCATCTGCTTTTAAGCTAATTTGCTTTTGTTCACTTATCTCGTAATGAAATTAGGCTCCCACACGGCTTTGTATTTAAGCCTAAATAACTAATTAATTTAGGTAAAAAATTTGAATGTAGTACTTATGTTTAGGGTTTGCTCTTACCTTCTTGTTAAGTCTACTCTATTTATAGAAACTAATCTATGTCCATGAATAACTAACTATACTGTCTAAAATTCACAGTTAAAAATATATGAATCATTTATAATCATTAGCGGGACATAAGCGGTGTAGTTAAGCTCGTAAATTAGCATAATACTTTAAAATCTTGCATTCTTACAAATGTTAGTGTTAACAGCAGTAGAGAAAATGAATAATTTCACCATTAAAAAGTAGTTTAATTTGTTTTTGTTTGTTTTATGTGTTTTTATTAGGGTTCCGTACCTCAAAAGGTAAAAAATGGAACCCTTTTAAGATCATTCTCTTATACGTCTGTCTGTCCTTGTGTCACCACTCACTCACCACAATTCTCTCTGGAACGGGTGGACCTAGTACCGTTAAAGTTTATACCAGATACTGAAGTTTATAGTCCCTATTAGGTGAATAAAAATCAAAGTCTTGAGTCAACATGATAAAAAGATATTGGCAAATTTAGATTTTCGCGCAAACTTGTAAGTACCAAAATTTACCTTAATTTTCAACTTTTTTATTTTTCGGAATTTTTTCTTCACTTGTACTGTAAGACCTTGGCTTTTAACCAAAATTGACACTTCTAGGTCAACCGGAAGTACCCTATAGGTTTTGGGTCAAAAACCTATATGGTAGTTCCCTTTGAGCTAGAACCACGAAATTTGGCAAAAGCAAGGTCAGCAAAAATAAAGGAAAATATTCAAAAAATAAAAAAAGTTCAAAATTAAAGTTAAACCGATTTCCTACTTTGTATGAAACCCTCGGTGGGCGAGTCCAACTCGCACTTTTCCTTAATTTTATTTTTAAATTACAATTTATATTTCTTGGAAAATGGAACTAGAACCACCCACGTGTTCTGAGTATTTATAATGCACAAAAGTTAAATCAAATTACGACATTACGTAAAAACTGAGCTTTCAATTAGATATTCAATTTGAACTTTGAAACTTTTCGGCATTTAATCAACGAATGTGATTATTAAGTGACATTCCTCAGACTGCTCTCAAGATCGATTGATTTATTCAAATTTTATTTCAAATTACTATAATTATAAGGCACAAAATCGTGTGCTCTACCGGGGCGCGAGGAACCACCTGTTAGATTCTCTCGCTTCGAGTAGAAATTCGTTGTTCTATTCCTAATGTAACTTTAATGTTGGGGTGTTAAGGATTTATGTTTCAAAGGAATGTTTTATAGGAAACTTAGCTTCGAGTAAATATACATTAATTGGAATCCATTATATTATCATGTTCTTCCTATTTCACTAAATTAATTGATATAAGAATAAACAATAATTATAATAAATATGAGAAATATTGACCCTATTATAATTTTATTCTATTATATATAGGCTGGTCAATGCGGCTTCGCCTGCTTAAAATATTTTTTCGTTATAATTTTATTCTAATATATATAGGCTAGTCAATGCGGCTTCGCCTGCTTAAAATATTTTTTGTATTTTCTACGTTCTTGGAGAGCGCCATCTATTGAAGAACTACCTGGCTTCCTTACTGAGATAAAAGTATCTTATTTGCTAGTCCAGGGCACATCCTGCCTTACCTAATCTTTCTAAAGTTTTCCAATCCATACTTACCAATCTTTTTATCAACAATAAGAATAATAATATAATTAGGTTTAATGTATAACGAAAATAAATAGAGCCTTGACACAAATTATTGAACTCTGTTGGAATACAATTGGTTAAATCGTCGAAATCGAGTCGTGCTTAGTATTCTAACGAATATATTTTTTTTTATAAAATATCATTGTTCGTCTTATTATTACTATCTATTAAAATTAAAAGATTAGCCTTTAAAGGCACACGACGAACCCTTAGCACAACCAATTATTGATCCTTTTGAATTCGGAGTTCTAAAAAAAAAAATGGTTCAAAGAGAGTGAATACCATCAAAGGTTAATTACAATTTAAATCAAACTATCTTTTCGGATTTTTTCGTGGATTTAGTTTGATTTAAATCAAATC